GCAGAGAGACACAGAGAGGGAGACACAGAATCCGAGGCAGGCGCTCCAGGCTCCGAGCTGTCAGCACAGAGCCCGACGCAGGGCTCGAACCTACAAACGGTGAGATCATGACCTGAGCTGAAGTCGGACGCTTAACCTACTGAGTCACCCAGGCGCCCCTCATAAATTGTTCTTAAATCAGGCAAGACCCACAGGTGAGGCCTGGACAGTGGAGGGGGTGTGGAGCGGTTAGTAGAGTAGCTGGCCTGGCTGCTGTGATGTGCGGGGGGACCAGGTGCTGGGAGACAGCAGGGACCCAGGTGGCCCCCATCCTGCCCTCCCAGAGCCCACGGTCCAGGAGTGACCGGTGGCCGAGCAGCTTCCCCACGGAGGGACTGGTGCTCCTGGGGGCCGTGGGGGCCATAGGTTCCCCGGGAGGCTGGGGAAGTCTTCCCAGAAGAGGTGAGTACGGAATGAGTCTTCAAGTACAGGTAGGAGTCAGCTGGGCTTCGGGCCGGATGGTACTGGTGCCGGGAGAGCAGGGAGAAGCCTCGGCCAAGGCCCCGGGTCTGTGCTGTGCCCCTCACTCGGGCCCTCTGCTCCTCCCCTGCAGATCGAGGCACTGCCCCCGGAACTCTTCCAGTGCCGGAAGCTGCGGGCGCTGCACCTGGGCAACAACGTTCTGCAGTCACTGCCCTCCAGGGTGGGCGAGCTGACCAACCTGACCCAGATCGAGCTGCGGGGCAACCGGCTGGAGTGTCTGCCCGTGGAGCTGGGCGAGTGCCCGCTGCTCAAGCGCAGCGGCCTGGTGGTGGAGGAGGACCTGTTCAACACGTTGCCGCCCGAGGTGAAGGAGCGGCTGTGGAGGGCTGACAAGGAGCAGGCCTGAGCGCTGGCGGACGGCTGAGCACGGGGCCACCGAGGAGCCCTGGGACCCAGGGACCCAGGCACCCAGGGACAACCAGCCAGGTCTCAGCCAGGCCAGGAGCCCGGGGCTGGACGTCGGCTGGGCTGCAGCGACAGGACAGTACCTGAGGGGCTGGCCCCTTTTCTCCTTCGAGACTCATGCCCCCCAGGGCGGGCGCCTTGTCGGGGAGATCAGAGACCTAAGTCGTAGAGTGCAGTATTTGGACAATCAGGGCCTCTTCCCTGGAGGCCATCTCTGCCGCCAAAGGCCCAGGGACACCTACTTAGCTCTTGGTATTTATTTTTCGCCACTTCCCACCCCTCCCTCCGGATAACTTCTACATTCCCAAGAAAGTCCAGCTCAGATGGGGGAGGTGTTGAAGGAAGGGTGGGCAGTGTCCCTTTTTCTTTTTTTTGGTGATGCCACCGGCGGTACCCACCCAGACTTGAGCAGAGTGGTCCAGGGAGAACCAGCCGTGGATAGTCGCCACCCCCAACCCTTGGTGCGGGGGACGGGCTCTGGCGGTATGGCCCAGGGGACGGTAGGCCGCCGGGTAGAAAGGCCAGGCCTGGGGCTTGCCTCATCAGTTTTAGATTTTTTTTTTT